CATGCTCTCTTTTAAAGTTTCTATGTAAATTGTTCATAGTTGTTACTCTTATAACAAAAAAATATATCTAAAAGCTCATTTATAAAAAAAAAATTGTTTTTTATCGTTTTAAGGGAAAATCTTAAATATACCTATATTTTAACAAAATTAGAAATAAAACCTCAAACTTTTAAAAACCCTGTCTATACCTTTCACACTATTTTTGGGTTTTTTTGATAGAAAATGACCTTCATGGTAGTCTTTTTTCCATACAGTAATTTAAATATCGTAATGACTAACAAATTTCATATGGTAATTTATTTACCGTAATTCTTAGAATATTTTATACGGTACTTTAATTACCTTAATGTAATAACATTCAATTATGGTACTTGATCTACCGTAATACTTTACATTTATTATACGGTATTAAAATAACTGTAATGTTCTCCTACACTTTTTTAACCATTTTTTTTTGCATAAAACCCTATTTTCACAAGTTCTTTAGCATTTTCTTTTTTCTTAGCATCCTCCCTCTCTCATCCATTTTCTATCTCTGTCATCATTTTCCTCATATCATTTATTATATATCAATCTTTGAACGAGGTCTTTGAGAGCATCAAATATACACACCACTACTATTTTATAGATATGTCATCAAAATATTATGTTGTTTTTCTATAGTATTTGATATAGTTTGATTAAAATATTACATAAATAAGTTTTAGATTTATTTAATGGTTGGCCATCAAAATAATGTTTTTCTATAATGCTTGTAGTTGGGTTGGCCATTGTAATTTTATTTATATTTTGGTATCTATATCGCAATCTAATGTCCCTCTATAATGCAACCTCCTCATTATATTTAAGTATTTTATATTTGTTTCCATCTGAAATTTCTATGCAATGATTGAGCTTGTACGCAACAATAATGGGTGACAACATAGTGAAAATTGTTTTATACTTTGGTGGTTTTTTCAAGAGAAAATCTAATGATGGATGTATTTTCTATGATGGTGGGGACATGAAGGTTATATTTTCAAGGGGATTGCCTCATTTGACCAAGTAAAGGATCACTTGTCAAAAGTATCAGATTATGCCCCAAGTATCATGACTATTAGGTATATTGACCCAGGGTTACCAATTAACAGTAATATGATACGTATTAATGATGATGACGACATTGCAAATATGAGGAAATGGTCTTCTCCCATCGCTATGTGCGTATCAAACAGACCTTATTAAGTTTGACTGGACTAAATATCGACCACCAACAATGCCCGATAATGGCCCATCAAGATTAGTCATGTAAGAAGTTTGCAATGAAAATTATTAATTTTCTTATTTGTTAATTTTATGTTATGTGATAGAATAATCCTGACTGGTCCTTAAATTTTTTTTCTACAACACTTTCCAACCAGAGCAAGTAGTTCACAGTGAAGGTGTTGTTGCCATAGGTGTAGAAGATTCGCATGATTTAGAAATCGAGTGGCATATCGACGACATCGATCTGATAGAAAGCCCCCTCAAGATTAAACGTTACGAATGTGTACTTCAACAAGATCAGGATTTTGATGATGTATAGGCATGTCGTAATCACCTTATTGATTATGACATATCACAAAAGTTTAATATAAAGTGTATAAACAGTGAAGAAAGACGTGTATGAGCAAGGTGTGCTGTAGATGGGTGTTCATGACAAGTGCGTTGTTGGAGGGTTAATACAACAAACTCCTTCACGATGAATAAATTTGTAAACACGCACTCATGTGCCGGTGGAATAGGTAGGGTTCATCAGCCGCTTGCCTGAAGCCACTTGGTGGCGGACAAGATCAAAGATCGTTTGAATGATATGTCCAATCTGACACCTGAAGATGTGGTTAATGATATACAACGTGATCACGGTATCATGCTATCTTACCAACAAGCATGGTGGGGCAAAGAGGTTGCACAAGAGATAAATGAGAGTTCCTACATGAAGGAATATGAGGACCTTGCCAAGTACCTTCAGAAGATCTGAATTACTAACCTTGGAACCGTAACGATTATTCAAACAAATAATCATGATAGGTTTTAGTGTGTGTTTATAAGCAATTGTCCATGTTTGTATGGTTTTATGTTTGGTTGCAGGCCACTTATGGGACTAGATGAGACATTTTTTAAGGGAAGATACAAAAAGATACTATTGGCTGCAGTTGGGGTAGATGCAAATGAAAATTATTTCCTATAACATACGCAGTGGTTGAGAGTAAAAATACACCAAGTTGGACTTGATTTCTAGAGCTTTTCAATGAGCAGGTTGACCGAAGGCCTGATCTGCTAGCATTGACTATTATCTCAGATCGACAGAAAAGGTTACAAGCCGCAATTGAAAAAGTGTTCTCAACTAGTGAACAAGGCCATAGTATGAATCACCTTGCCGAAAACTTCAAAAGACCTATAGAAATTCGACGTTCACAAAAATTTATTGGAAAGCTGCAAGTGCATTGCTTATAACAGACTTCGATTAGTACAGGGCAAAGATTAAGAATGCAAATGCTGTGGCCTATGACTGGATCGTGTTACAGCATAAGAAATATTGGGCAAATATATATTTTCAGGGATGTAGATACAATCTTCTTACATCGAACATATCTGAATCATATAACCGGTGGATATTAAAAGCTCGGGAGAAGCCCCTTATTTAACTCCTTGAATGCATAAGGGTTAAGTTCATCGGATAATTTTTAAAGAAGAAGGCCATGTCCTTAGAAATGGAGCGGCATGCTTACACCAAAGGCCCCAAAGGTAATAGACATGAGGAGGGATAAGTCCATATTCCTTCATACAGTCACATGGGCACATGATGATATGTATGAGATCAATACGGATAAGAAATATGTTGTTAATCTGATGACTCATACATGCAGTTATCGAGTGTGGCAGGTAAGTGCGTTGCCATGCAGTAGACTCTTTAAGTACAAGTGAATTAAGTAGGTTTAATAGCAATCATTACTACACAAAACGCACAAAAGAGCTTAAGCCCTAGGTGTGAACACGAGAAGTTATAAATCCTCAATCATTGCATACATGAGAAATGGTTTAGCACAAGAGAGATAGTCTAAAATGGTATTTGATATTTTCAACAAAAATATAGCATAACATAATCACAAAAACTGAGTTAATTAAATCAAGTTCATGAAATTTTCTCACTTAAAGAGACCAAAACATAGGATAATTATGTAAGGCAATGACAATTATAAACCACAAAAATGCATGAAATTGATATGTCGACCTTTACTCGACTTGTTGTTGTGTGCATAATAATTTTCAAAAAATATGCACTAATTTTCAGCAAAAAAAAAAAGGGATTTAGAAATTACAAAAATCACAGCTTTTCATGAATATAATGGCAGTTTGTCACATTTCTTAAGAGCCATGAGAGATAAGTTCATATGTAATTAGGATCATGCTACTATTATCTCTATAAGACAACGTCCGTTTCATAAAGTGAAGCTTTCATCGATAACTATCTTGATATGTTAGAAATGTAGCACATTTCCAAGACTATACATATATATATATCCAATGCATAACAAACAAAAAATACACAATGCTGGACCGTGGAATAAAAAAAAAGGGGATTTAGAAAAATATGATAGTTTAGGCATGATTTTTGTAATATCTTAAAAAAATATGCACTAATTTTCAGCAAAAAAAAGGGATTTAGAAATCACAAAAATCATTGCTTCTCATTAATATAATGGCAATTCGCCACATTTCTTAGAGCCATGAGACATAAGTTCATATACAATTAGGATCATGCTATTGTTTTATCCGTAACATTAGATCATCACAACGCTTAATCGTGGCTCTGACAATAGAAGTAAGGCACATGTTTTTTGATGCCTAAATATCTTCAAATTGTTCTGATATCACAACCTCTTCTAGATCATCAAATTGTTTCACAAATACATACATGATATTACAACCTCATATAAATCATTACATTCCTAATTGTTTTGATGCCTAAATATCTTCATATTGATATTACAAAAATCATAGCTTCTCATAGGAATCAAATAGATCATCACAATGCATAACAACAAAAAATACACAATGACGATCCGTGGAATAAAAAAAAAAAATACAACCTCATTTATAATATAGAAACAAAGATTAGAATATAGAAATTGAATGATCGATCATCACACGGTAGGCTGGAAATGTGGAATCAAAAAATAAATATACAACCTCATTTATAAATCTAGAGAAATATTTCTTACCTCAAAAATCTGATGAGGGAGAGTTACCCGTGAGAGATTGGTTAGAGATTGAGCGTAGAGGTTGAAAACAGCAAAGGTTGAGAGCTCTATAATGGTAGATCAAGAGCCATAAATAAATAATGGGCTAAAAATAAATAATGGGCTACGGGTTCGGGTTTATAACATACGAAAGTATTACGCCATTTCGATTGCCATATTAAACTTCAAATTATTATGTTCGAAAGAATGCTGTAAAGAAAGTGTTATATATTACGGTACTTAAAGTACTGTAATATTATTTGAAATTATTACGGTATTTTAATTACCATAATACTACTTCAAGTTATTACATCATTTTAATTACTGTAAAACATAAATGAATTACGGTAAATAGACTACCGTAAAGGTCATTTTGGTCCAAAAAAACCCGAAAATGAAGAAATACTGTGTAGACGAGGTTTTTGAAAGTTTGAGGTTTTTTTTTCCAATTTTACGAAAATGTAAGTATATTTGCGATAATTTCCCAAGATTTGTAACGTGTTTTGACTATAAATATTTTGTCTTTATATTTATCCTTTATTTTGGATAATTTCTAAAATGTCCTTCATTACAAATTGATTTTTCACAATCTATTTTTTTACTAGTTTTTTAACTTTATTTAGAATTATTTTGTTTAATTTTACTTTGAATTATTTTAATTTTTATAATTCTTTCGATTTTTTTTTTTAAAATCGTCGAGTCGGATCACCCAACTGTAGATACTGAGAATTCCCCGAACCAGTCCGAGTTATCATACTATCCGAGTTGGAGAGCGACCTTTTTCACTCTGCTGCGCGCGCACACAAACAGCCTTTGTCCCTTTCTCTCGGAGCTGCCAGAGAGAGTGAACACTTTCTCACTCTTCAACTATCTCTCTCTCTAGGAACTCTTTTCTCACCTCTCTCTCTCTGAAGCCTAAGCTCCATTTTTTGCTGTTTCAAGTCCCACCACATTGACTGCACACCAGGTATGATTTGCTACCTTCGTTTTTTCTTGTGGGCAATTTAGGTATTGTTGTTAACTGAATGGGGTTTGCACATAAATATGGTTCCTGTTTTTTTTTTGTGAAGAGAGTTTGGTTGCTCAAACGAGCGTCTTATTTTTTGGATTTAGGTTTTATAGTTGTTCAAGTGGCGATATTTACATTTTATTTCGGAATTGGGGTTCATAATATCTCTTTTTTATGTTTCTCCCACACCCTATTTGATTTTTTTTTTGAATTATAATTTATTTATTTTTTCCCTTTCCTCTTACTAGGGTTTTACGGGATTGCTTTCAATATGTAAGATTGATTTACAAATTTACTATGTAAATTAACTTCACTGTTTTTTTTTTCCCTCCTCTCTCTCTCTCTCGTACC